CTCCCTCTCTCACACACACACACACACACACACACACACACACACACACACACACACACACACACACACACACCGGTAAATGTGAGAAAAAAAAAAGCATTTATTGTATGTCAAAAGATTTATTTGCAGTGCAGTTGACAGTAAATGGGTGTTTTTCAAACTGAGTAGAAATGTGTCAGACCAAACTGGAACTTAAAAAGCCAGAGCAGTGTGCCCTGCTCTTCCATCTCCTGTCTGAGCCTCTTCCTTGCCTCCTCCTACCTCCTTTAAGTTTTGGTTCTCATGTTACATGAACATTATCTTTGTATTCTCCTGCTTTTGTGGGGGCAGAGAGTCATAGCATATCAAGTAGGTATTGACAAGCTGATTGGATGCACAGGCCTTCTAGGCAAGGCCTGGAAAGAGACCTGTAAGTAGTCCCAGAACCCTGGGGCCAAAATGATAAATCTAGAAATGATGGAAAAATATTCTCTGAGTAGCTGATGTTTTTCAGGAAGTTTAGGTACTAAAGTCAGCGTGCTATATTCTGCAGAACAGATGATCTGCCTTTAGGCAAGACTACTGAGCATAAAATTGGGCAGTAGATCAAAGTAGGGACATAATGGCATAACAAACAGTGACAACAGGAAAAAAAGATGGGGGGAGGGATATTTAACAGCCTAGCCAGATGTGGCCATTTAATACAGGCTCAGAGGTTAACTACTTTGCCTGTGGCCATTCAGCTAGCAAAAGGGGGAAGTGCCTGGGTTTGGATTCAGTGCTTCGAGATTCTTCAGTCATTCCTCTTTCAACTGAACTATGTAGAGGCAGGGCTGTGCTGAGTCCTGTTGGGAATAGGTCAGCCAGATCTGACTGCTGCAGGGGGACAGAACCAAACTTGCTTTTGTCAAGGTTTAGTGTGTTTGAACCATATTAAAGTTCATGTGCAGAACTGATGGGACTAGGGAAGATGTGTGATAAGGGGAGACCACTTAGGGCATTGGTAGAGGACCACACATTGTCCGGACATTTGTTCCACATTAGGGCCACATTTATTGTGATATAAGGAACACAGCCTTTCCCCACCCTGCTCCCAAATGGCTTGCTGTCTTGTATGTGGAATATTGTGATTCAGTTCTTGGACCACACCACTGAATTTTTAAGGCACGCCTCTCCCATGTAGTCCATTAAGGGACAGCTGTTCATCTACAATGGCTATTGCTTGTGAGGAATCTTCCTTTAAATGGATGTTCCTTCTGGCCCACTTATCTGTGAGTCATGTTTTCTTCTTTTATGCTTGGAATCTTCTTTTATGTTTTCAGACTCCTAGAATGACAGATTGGCAGGGACTTTGAACATGTTTCAGCCAAACTCTTTAGTGTATAGAAGAAAAAACCTTGGTCCCAGGAACTTGGAACTCCTCCCGGTCATGGTGGGTTAGTGGTAGTTAAAGCCTGTTGCTCCGCCTGTCAGCCAGCTCCTTCATTTATGAAATGGATATGATCCCAGCCCTGTCTACATCAGACTATTTTTATAAGGATTAGTGAGAGAAAATCCTTTGAAAACCATCAGAAACATTGTCATTAAGGCTTTTAAGTTAAGGTAAATCAGTCCTCTTTGAAACTGAATAAAAGCTCTAATGAAACTGAACATTAGAGCAAAGGAACTCATTCCCAGACACTGTCTCTACTAAGGAGCATTGAATTTGCACAGGTGGCTACTAATCACAACAGGCAGTTACTACCACTACCATAGGATCCAAACTCAAAACGACCAGCATTCATTTCATTGCCTTTACTCTCCATGAATGCATTCTCTTGTCTGGAGATTCATTCCATATTAGGGCCACAATTACTGTAATATAAGAGCAGAGTTCAGGGATCTCGCACCTGCCGTCTGTGGCATGCTGCAGCTGGGTGCAAACTAGCTCCTTTTGAATGTTTTTCTTGAGTTAGAAGACTTCAGTGCATCCCACCTGACATTATCAGTGCAGTGCTACTTGGTCTCTAGCTAAGCTTTTCTTGCTGTTTGGTACCATGATAACAATTTGAAAACTACCCAGGTCAGCATCTTTTCTACCATCACAGCGATCTGTCACCCGAACTGAGCAGCTGCCAGACCAGAGAGGCAGACGTCCCTCTCAGACTTGTGTATCAGCAGTGCAGGCACTGTTCCTAACTCATGAGTGTGATCCCTCCCAACTCCCAGCTATTTAGCAAAGAACAAACAGCCATTATGTCTGTCCTCATCTTGCTTTGAACTAAACAGTGTCTTGTTTCATTTCCTAACCGGGTACAGTGTGAACTGTGTGTTGCTTTGACATAGTTTAAATATCCTTAACTAAATTTTTTTTTTCCTTTCTGTATTTTCATGCAACAGAAAATGCCCCAAGAACAATAGAGGACGCCGACAGAAGCAAAACTTAGGTCATTTTACTTCAGACACTTCATCCAGAATGGTTTGAACTCCTGACTTTTATATGCACACTGACCATGTGATGTACATTTATTATGTCTTTTTTTAAAGAACGGAAATATTTATTTCAGAGGCCTTATTTTTGGACATTTTTAGTGTAGTACTGTTGGCTCGTATTTAGAATATTTAGCTACAGCAGTTTTGGACTGTTTAGTAGTCTCTGTTTTATGTTTTTAAATACAGAAATTGATTTCACCAATTTGTACCACATGGTAATATTAAGAATTGTTCTTTACTCATGGAATGTAATATTTTTGCAAAGATGGATGGACCCACTTCACAGTGGCTATAAAGTCATACTTCTTCCCCAATGACCACAGCAAATGGCAAAGCATGAACTAAAAGGAAAGATGTTTACAGATTACTTTTCTTACAAAAAATAAAAATCTAGAAGACACTGTGTTTAAATAGATATTTAAATGTTTTTGAGATTTAGTACCTGATTTTTTTAGACACTGCCCCTATTGCATGAGTTGCAAAGCTGTGTGTGTGTGTGTTAGATGTAACATATTTATAAGCTGGATGGACTGGAATTGACAATTTCTCTCTTTGAAGACGTAATTCTAATAATTTGAAATGATACCTGGGAATTAATGATGGAGCAGATCATTGAAAATAGATTTAGATATTGTCAAGATAGGCTATTTAATGAGCAGATTGGAATAAAACCTACATATCAGTTAAAACTACTTTAATACACATTCATTTTTAAACATGGTATTTGTTTTAATATAAATATACAAATTGTATCAGTGTTTGTGAATACAATGCAGAAATAATTGTTAATGATTGGTGCTCTGGAAGTGAGTTTAAAAATGACCTAAGACCTCTAATTCAAATTTGTCCTGTAGTAGCTCTATTAATAGATTGTTGGTGTTTAAAGGTCTGAAATGTAAGTAGAATGTATTGAGGTGTTTAACGTGTAGTTTGGCTAGTCGTGTAGTTTGGCTAGTCAAAATTATGCATGTAGAATTTAAAGACTATGTTCAAACTTAAATATTAATTTTAATAATTTGATTTGGAAAAGCATGTTATAATATAATGTTTTCACTATATGGTCGGTTTTGTGTGTTTATTTATTGTATTCTTTGGTATTGATCTATTAGTACGTGTAATAAGTGAAATTAACAGAAAAGAAGATTGCAGTCCAAAATTTCTCTTTGCTTATACATGCTATTGCTTGAAATGATCCAAAGAGAAAAACTTTGCTGAGTGTTTGGAGCTACTTGGCTTATAGGCTTCATATGAGTAACATAGTGGCTTTAGTGAACTTCTTCACACAGCTTTCCCTTTCCACCCACACAGTCTTATTTGAGGTCCTTAGTCAGTCTGCAAGCATGTTTGGAACTGGCCCCAGTGCTTTGCAAGGGCTCGTGTTGCAGGGCAGTCACGGATGGGCATTTGTAGTTATAAATACTTGACCACTCTCCAGGGTGCGGTTCTTAGCCCTTTAAAGCAGCTTCCTTGCCTGCTACCAAGCTGACTTTTGGCTTCGAGTGTAGGAATTGATTGCTGTAGGACATCTTTTGCTAAGAAAGAAGTAAAATGGAACACAATGGGTCTGCTTCCAATGCTAGCAAAATCCACCAGAATCGATTGTCAAGTGTGACTGAAGACGAAGACCAAGATGCTGCTCTTACGATTGTGACTGTGCTGGACAAGGTGGCCACTGTCGTAGACCGTGTGCAGGCAAGCCAGAAGAGAATAGAAGAGAGACACAGGGAAATGGAAAACGCTATAAAGTCTGTTCAGATTGACCTGCTGAAGCTCTCACAATCACACAGCAACACGGGCTACATCGTTAACAAGCTGTTTGAGAAGACCCGGAAAGTCAGCGCTCACATTAAAGATGTGAAAGCCCGGGTGGAGAAGCAACAGGTTCATGTAACCAAAGTAGAAACCAAGCAAGAAGAAATAATGAAGAAAAACAAATTCCGTGTGGTAATATTCCAGGTAAGCTTGCACTTGTGTTCAGTTTAGTGACTATAATCTCTTTCATTCTTTGTCATCATCGAGTCACAGTTTCCAGTGTCGAGTCTCAGCCACGGTCTGTGGTATGGAGTGGCTGCCACCTAATAGAGCCATTTCTTGCTGACCAACGCCCTATCAACCATGTCTTGAGCTTCTTACTGGTCATGTAATGTGAACTGTGCTTGTGGCTCAACCTGTTTCTTGCCTTTGAAACTTAATACTGTCAGTTTTCTTTCTGTCGTTTGAATCCTATTAAGCACAGTGACCCAGTAGACTTTAGAATGCTGGGACCAAAAAGGGCCCTAAGAAATCTCAAGTTTAAAAACCATCTTTGTTACACAAAAGAAGAAACTTGGAAGGGCAAAGGATGTAAAACACTCACCACATGGCTGAGGCTTGCATTTGATATACAACTTCCCCCTAAAAGAAAACAAATTAGGAACTAACACTCCCACAGTCATGGTTTTATTCTTATCATAGAGAGCCTAGAAACCCAAAAACTTCTCGGAACATATTTGCCCATTGGATTTTTTTTTTTTTTTTGTATTAGCCACAGTAAGACCGTGTTTCTGATTAAAAAATTGGGCCATTTATTTATTCTTCAAGTTTCTGCTGATATTTTGAGATAGTCTTGCCTATAACCCATGCTGACCTAATCCTCACTCTGTAGTAATCTAGGCTGGACTCAAACTGTGGCAATCCTCCTGCCTCAGCTTCCCAAGTACTAGGCTTATAAACATGAGCCACCACTCCAGCTTAAGTTTTATTTTTTATATTATTCTTACAATAATACAGATAAAGAAGTTCCATAGATAATTCCTTACTCAGTAGAAAAGCTTTTTTACTTAACTGATTTAATAAATTGCATGCATCATTGCATTTTTTTTGCTAAGTTCCTATAACTGCTCAAAACTTAAAAAAATTGGAACATACCCAAGGCAATACATAATGTCGACAGTCTATTTTTAAGCTTCTGTAAATTAAAAGGGACAAGTTAAACTCTTTTCCACATTGAAAATAATGATGAGATGAAAGTTTATAGAATACAAAGTAGATGAGAACAGAGCTATTTTTCTTACCCATCTAAACAATGGCCATTACCAAACTATAAATTCAGAGTGTGAATGTTAGAGAAGAATGACCTTCCCTGTTCTGTTATTGGGAGAATTAGCTGGCACAACACTTTGGAAGGCATTTTTGATAGTGTGTTATTATGAATTTTAAAAATTCTTAAGTCTTCTGGCCCCCAAATTTCATGTCAGATAATTTGTTCTAAGCATAAAACCATTAATGTATGCCCAACTATATGCTTTTAAAAGTGAAGGTCATGCACATGAACCCTAGAAGAATAAAAACCAAAATGAAATAAGGACACAGTTGGTGGTAACATCAGGGCCCATAACCTTCACGGTGTTTGTGCATTAGTCAGTGCCCCAGAGCTCTCTCTGTTGAGTGGTCAAGTTACACTGGAAAGGGAGAGAGGCGCTTCTGGATCTGTTTTTAAGAGTTCACAGGTTATTGAGGAAAAAATAGGGAGGAGAGGGATGAGGTGCTTATTTCAAAGAGAGAAGAGTGGGCTGGTGTCTTTTACCATCATCCTTCTAGTCTCCTGGAGGCCTTTCTCTGGTCTTAAAAATGTCACCTGGTTGCAGCTGTCAATTCCAGTGTTGGAGCAGACAGCGGTGAGCTCGGCATGGAACTGCAGAGTAAATCCATTCACCTTCCAGGGGTGTTAGCCACTGCCTTGGGTGTTCACCCTTCATTTGCATGTGGTATGTCAGGAAGTACACTTGGAGTCCCACTTGTTTGCCAAGCAGTGGACCAGGTTTCCCACAGGATTGACAGAAGCTACAGTAAGGAAACAAAAATTACAGCTGGTCCCATATACTGATGTAATTCTATCTCTGTTTTTCTATTTGTATCTATTCCCTGTAAACTTACTGGTATTTTCCCCGTCTTTGGATCCTATAGTTCTATAAAGGAACTAAGAGGCCCTAGTTAGTGACAAACCTCTTTTCTTTTAAGGTAGAGTATCTTGAAACATCTGTGAAATTTAGTTGTTCAAATTATGCAAGAGTTTGTCAGAAAAAAAAGCATTTGCTATCTTTTATAAGTGTACAGGGAAAATATGAAGATTCATGGACATAGGACTTAGACTCATATACTTGTTATTATGTTATATGTTAGAATGTATATATAGATCTGTACGATCAAATTTAGCTATAATTAATTCTCAGTTTTTTTTTAAAGATTTTCCCTTCTAAAATTATTTTGAAATTTTAGCCATTCAGCTAAAGTATATCTTCATTTCCATTTGAGATTTTCCTTAAGTTTCCCCTGGATATATCTTTTGTTGATAATCTTTTTTATTGATATCAAGGTTAACTTGGTAACAAGGGATAATAATAAAAACAGTATCAGATAAACAAAATATTAGTGTCCTATTCACTGCAGTTGTATATAACTAAGCTTTTGCCAAGTTCTACATGTTGGCATTTGAAAATTGTGTGACATTCTAACACAGGTCATTTCTCCTTGAACACTTGTTCACACTGGTGACCCCTCTCATTGTGCATGGCCTGAGCCACAGCATACCTTCTCATGATTTCAGTTACTTGGTAGTGGTTACGGAGTAACTTTTGAAGTTTGATAAGTCCCAGAATTCTGTGCGTCCAAAATGTCCCTAACTGTGTTACTTTCATATTAGTTCAGTTCTATTTTACTTTGCCCCACAGTATTCATTCTGTTACAAAAATGGTACTTTAAACCAGGTGTGGTGCTGTATACCTATAGTGCTTGCACTTGTGAGGGAGAGGCAGGAGGATTGGGAATTAAAATATACAGTGAGTCTAAGGCATGCCTGAGCTATGTAAGACCCTGTCTCAAAAACAACAATAAGCTAATTTTACCTGGATTTTCATGCAGAAATGTGACTGTATTCAGAAGTCAACTATAATTTACCCCTACAACCTTCTATTTTTAGTACAGAGTGTTTGCCCTTAACCCACAGTAGCAAGGACTCATAGGAGCTGTGATAGACTCTCAGGCAAGGTCTTCTATCTTTGCCTCTGTTCACCTTGGGCTTTAAGCCTGATTTTGTACTGTCTGTGGTGTGTTTGAAGATAAGGGTGTGTGAGTCCCGTCTCCCTCTGTCTGATGCCTTCATTGCAGGATTGTGGGGATTTCTACCTACCAAGCAATACCCTTTGGCTCTTTCCTTGTCTAATTATACTGTCTCAGGCTCGCCCAGCCCACATGGTTGCTGAGGCTGCTCCTCGTAGCAGGTGCCAGGAAGGAGAGGAATAACTTCACTGCCTCTCACTGATTCATCAGAAAGTTATGAGACACCCACTTCTGCCTCTTTAGTTGGGTAGAGGGAGGCTCATGGTACTCAGATCCTGTAGCCAAAAATGTAATTTAAACTAAGGAATAAGATTCTAAGGATGCCTTCCTGGCTGTTGGGCTGGTTACATCTTAGGGTGTGTGCAAGCACCCTCCTGTGCCCTGTGCTGGCCTGCCTCTCGCTGATTATCTTCTGACACTCTTGGCAGAGATGGTTTTTCTCCTAGACTGCTTTGCCCTCAGCCTCTGGGGTTCTGCTCTCCTGGTGTTCTGTCTTCTTCCCTCATGTCTAAGTTCAAAATCTCCAAATGTTCTAAAATCAAAACCTAAACATTGCCTCCCTCCCCTTTCTCCCCCCAGCCTCCCATTTGTTTCTTCTAACAGGCTGGTATTGAACTTGTGGTCCTTCTGCCTCAGCCTCCAGAGAATTTGGGGTATAGTCATGGACCACCATGGCAGCAAAATAAAACTAAAAATGAATCATTTTGCAGGAGACTTTGCTTGACCTGAAGTTTTTCTGGAAATGGTATATCATCTATCATAGTTTCCTAAAGTCAGTTTAATTCTGAATTTTGAGATACCCCTCGAATACTTTGTCTCTGGGGAGTTTTGAATGAAACATCACTCTGTTGTCTGTTATCTCTTCTTATCTCTGGCCTTTGGGGTGTGTGTGTGTGTGTGTGGGCACAAGTGTGCTACAGCATGTGTATGGAATCCAGAGGAAAACTTTTGGGAACTGATTTTGTCCTTCCCTGGGATCTGAACTCAGGATCTGAAAAGTATTTGCTTGGCAAGTACTTTTTACCTACTGAGCCCAAATGCTTCCCCTATGCCTTGCTTTTTTACGTGGGTTTTGGGGGTTGAGCATGTGGCAAACACTTCACCAATTGAGAGCTCCCTAGTGCAAGAGTTTCATGACTCTTAATTTCATCACTGTATTAATGGTTCTTGAATGCATATTTCTAGTCCTTACCTCCCTCCTGACTTGAAGTTTCTCACCCTTTCTGCCTGCATACACGCTGCCCATTCCAAAGATGGTGTCTCACCTTCCCTCCCCTGTTTTGCTTCTGTACCTGTCTGAGTTAATGGTAGATCCCTCCCTCTGTTGATGTAGCAGCAGGTCCTGTGGGTTCTGACCTTCAAAGCACATCTGCAGTCAGAAGACTTTTCACACCTTCCCCTGCTTACACTCAGCCTCCCTGATCTACCTTCCCTTTGCCTAAACTCAGTACTGTCCTGTCATTCTTCTTGCTTGTCTTACCCTTGTGGCTTGCTTTCAGCAGAGTGACAACATGGGTCAAATCGTGGTCCTGCTGTCCTCAAAACCTTGAGAAGTGTTCCTGTCAGAATAGTAGATTCTGACCTCACTATTGGCCATGGGGCCTCTCTTGACTTGGCCTCCTTAACTCTCTTCTTGGGGCAAGGTGGGACATTTGAATTGATTCTTAAATAAAGCTATCATTTGTAAAGCTAAAAAAGGAAAAGGGGTATTGGAGATGGAAACAGCCACATATATGAAGGTGTAGAGGGTGAGTGTCTACTTGACACTGAGATATGACTTTTCTATCTGCAGATATGTTGGACAACATCCATAGTCATCCTGGGATTTACATCCAGGGTGCCATAGGGTGGACTCCTCTTGTAGAGGGTTCAAAATATTTTGTGTTTGAGGACCTTGAGAATGGTTAGTGTTTCTGGGCTGGAGAAGAGGGAAAGTAGGATTAGGTCAAGGATTTCCTAAGCATCCTACAAGGTTGGGGTTTTCTCTTTGAGCACTGATGTACTCTTGGAAGTCTTAAGTGAGTTATAACCAGACTGTGCTATAAAAACAGTTCTCAGGAAATTCTCAGATAATGGTCTAGAAGGTCTAGAAGGATAATGGTCTAGGAGGAGAGGGATTGGAGGAGATTGACAGCCCAAGTTCAGACCTGAGGTCATGTGGAGCTGAATTAAGATGTGGGTGGAGGAGTGAAAAGCAAACAAATCATTTTGTACTGTCACTGGTAGAACTTGATGACTAGTTGACCATGGAACAAGAGGGAGAAGTTGTATTTGGAGGTGATAATTCTGAGGTCTCTGCTTTGTGTGGCACCCAAATGGCCACTGGTGCTGAGAGAGAAAGGGAAGGAGATGCAAGTGGAGAGCATCATGGGTGGGCCTTGAGGCTTGCACCTCTAAGTGAAAGGTGCTTTGCTGTATCTAGACAGAAAAGTTTGTCATCTTAGGAGTGGAGAAGCAAAGAAACAATATTTGTGAGAAAAAGACCAAGGGGACAAACATTTGTGAAGGAGGTTTGGAGGTATTGCCAGAGGTAAAAGCTGAAGCCTGCCACACAGGAAGCACTCACCTGTCGCTCTTCTGTCCTACAGGAGAATATCCAGTGCCCTTCATCCTTGGCTGTGGTTAAAGACAGAAGCCTGCCTGAGAACCAGGAGGAGGATGAAGAAATCTTTGATCCCCCGATAGATCTCTCATCAGATGAAGAATATTCTGTTGAAGAAAGCAGATCTGCCAGGTTTAGGAAGTCAGGCAAGGAGCACATTGATCATATCAAGAAGGCATTTTCCAAAGAAAACATGCAGAAGACACGGCAGAATTTTGACAAGAAAGTGAGTGGAATTAGAACTAGAATAGTCACGCCTGAGAGGAGAGAGAGGCTGCGGCAGTCAGGAGAGAGGCTCAGGCAGTCAGGGGAGAGGCTCAGACAGTCAGGGGAGAGATTTAAGAAATCCATTTCAAATGCTGCCCCCTCAAAGGAGGCTTTTAAAATGCGCAGCCTTAGGAAACCAAAGGATTCCAAGGCTGAGAGCCACGAGGGAGACAGAGGGATGGGTGTAGACATCATCGCAGGTAGCCTGGCCCTGGGGCCCATCCATGAGTTCCATCCTGATGAGTTCAGTGAGACAGAAAAGGAGGTGGACAAGGTAGGGCACATTCCCCAAGAAGGAGGGGACCCCCCAACTCCCGAGCCTTTGAAGGTGACCTTTAAGCCTCAGGTGAGAGTAGATGACGATGAATCGCTCCTGTTGGATTTAAAGCAGTCCTCATAGAGAGGCATTAAGTGTGAGCATCAATCTCAAGTCACAATAGTGAAGCCATTTTAGTCATACATAGTAGAAAGGCAAATGGTACAAAAGCTTCATTTCTTTAAAATCCTAAAGATTATAGAAACATCATGTACAACTTTCTTATGGGAATTCTAATCCCCCCGAGAATCTATGACTCTGACAGCTTTTTTTTCTCAAGTGTCACACCTTTTTGTGGCAGCTCTTAGCCAATTAGAAAATAGTTGCATGGCTCAGGTCAGTTAGATGCTTGGTCATCTGTAACACAGGAGGGACAAATCGGTGCCCATCGTTTACTAGCAAACTAGATTTGGGTCAGGATCAACAAGTCCAGTCACAAAGGGGAGTAGCTAATGAGTGTATTGTATTATGCAGATGTTCACAACGGGAGATTGATTAGTGAATCAGTAGCCATACCCCTTATGAAGCTCTTGTGTGAGGGAAGATAATTGAAGTTTTTGGGCTTCATCATTTAGCTGTGGCATCATAACGTTCTTACTAGTGAGACAATCGGCTGGTTGCCATTAATTTCCAGTGATGGATATGGGGAGGGCTTGATGGCCCCGCACTTGGAAAACTTGAGATCTGAGGGATGTCATCAAGTGTGGGGACAAGACACACATCCAGTGGAGAAGCACAGACCACATGGTGCTTCTAAGCCAGAACTTAACAGTTACATCTGTGAAGAAGCCCTCGGCACCAGGCACTGAGGCCCGAGTTGAGCAGAAACTGAAGTTGTACTTGGCAAGCCTTTTCATAGCTTGAAGAGTGAACAATAAATGCTTGGAGGAGCAATTTTTCATTAAAGGCTGACACTAACCTTGGATTTTTAGCTGGGTCCTAACATATTCCTTAGAAATCTGCCTCTAATTGCCTTTAGATTTGGATGTGGGGCAGACTAGTGCAGATTTTGTGTGCATAGCATGAGGTGGAAGTCTGGGGCTCCGCTGTGAAGTGGTTTTTTTAAGGTCTGCCAGGATGTGGGCATAGAAATGACCTCCGATACTCCTATTTTGCAGAGTGAAACTTTTAGGACTAACATGCAGTGCTCATGGGCATTTGTCACAGCGACTTTGCAGGACTTCAGACTCCAGGTGGCTCTAGATTTCCATCTGTGCAGTTAAGAAGTACAAATTGCTGCTGAAGGAAAATCACACCTATTCTGCACTTCCTGCACACTGAAGTCTTTGGATCTTTTTTTTTTTTGGTTTTTTTTTTTTTTTTTTTTTTTTTTTTTGATGTGGAAAAGAGGGTAGAATTTTTGATGGATTTTTTTCCCCTCACATTCAGCTTAGTTTTGAATAATCATGTAGTAGTTAAAAATATACAGGCATGTGAGTGCATGCCTGCTGCCCCAGCACCAACAAGGCTGAGACAGGAGGATCACAAGTGGCCTAAATACATGTTCATCTTGCTTTTTTTTTTTTTTTTTTTTAGACCAGGCTGGCCTCCAACTCAGAGATCTGCCTGCCTCTGCCTCCAGTGTATGTGTGCCACCACTGCCAGGCATCTTGGTATCTTTTTATATTGCAAACTAAAGCATGTACAACATTGAATAAAACTCTGAAAGAATAATTCCAAAAACATTTTTGTAACTGCTTAGGAGGTTGGGGCCAGGTGGTGGTGGCACATGCCTTTAATCCCAGCACTTGGGAGGCAGAGGCAGGCCGATCTTTGTGAGTTCAAGACAGCCTGGGCTACAAGAGCTAGTTCCAGGACAGCCTCCAAAGCCACAGAGAAACCCTGTCTCGAAAAACAAAAAAACAAAAAACAAAAACCAACCAAACAAACAAAAAACAAAAAAAAAGGAGGTTGGGTGCCCAACAATAAATTTGAATGTGAAATGATGTTATTATGAAATGTGAGGCCAGGGTTGTGCTTGTAAATCTTTTAACCAGTGATGAATGGAGACAGCAATATGCAAATGAAGGATGAAGTAGTAAATTGAAGGTAGGAAGGATATGGAGAGGTTACAGTTGTTGGTTTCCAGTTTATTTCAGTTGGGCTGAAATACTTTTCTGCAAATATCTGGAGCTTTTGTTTACTGACTCAGACCCAGACTTGACATCATTGGAGGCTTTGCACCCGTGTGTAGCCCTGACCAGCTCTGCACCTTGCTTGGGTTGGTGAGGCACAAACTGTGAATGCTTCATGTCGCTTGGGGCTCATGGTAATCCTGTGCTTCATTTTAATTTTGCTACCAGAATTTTCCCTCCATGTCGTAAATGTGTTCATGCCTTTCCATGTTTAGGACATTCCTAAATTCCACATCCATGATTTCTTGTACCTCCACCCTGTTTTATTGGTGCAATGACAATGGGCTGCAGAATTCATTTACCATAAGGGGTTTTCTAGTTGGTGTTCATTATTGTAAACGTTTCCAGAAACACTGGGTTATTTACTCGTCTGTAATGCAGAGGCACAGATATCAGGGATTAAATAATTTACTCAAGTCAAACCCTTAGCAGGACTTACCACCTTTCTCATGAGATAGAGCAGAACAGCAGTCTCAGGTGCCAGGGTTGGGGAGCTGGTGTTGAAGCTCTTCCAGGGGTGACAGGGGGGGCAATCTCCTGCATGTGATGATCCAGGTGTCCCAAGTGAGCAATGGCTTGGCTCCTGCTTACAGGTTAGAGAAACAGATGATGTGGAATATTAATGTGAGTGGACTTGTTCCCCCAAGGCAAATTTTCATGAATGAAAAACAGAAGCCCAAGAAAAATACAACCATTTTGACTTCATTCTTTGCTTTTCGTACACATTAAAGGGGTTGCTTTTGAACAGGTCTGGTGGTCATGGTGATTCTTTTAATTAAAGATTTATTCGTGTCTCTGTGTGTGAGTATATACTTATGTGTGTGTAGGCTAGAAGAGGCCATCAGGTGACCCCTAGCATCTCATTCTGCCCTCTAGTCAACTGTTCTTTGGAGGCAGGGTCTCTCCCTGGAGGTAGTGTTTCTGTTTTCTCATTTAGGCCAGATGCTAGCAATTTCCAGCCATCTTCCTATTTCTGATCACCTTTAAAGGTGAGTTGCTTCTATGAGTACTGGGATTCGAACTCTGATCCTCACTGTCACAGAGCAAGTACTCATAACTGCTGAGCCATCTCTCCAACCCCTCTTTGTGATTCTAATCTGCTAAAGAGCATGAGTCATGTTGTGCAAAATATTCCCCAGAACCATGTTAACTGTGGTTTGATTAAATAAAATCACTGGACCCCTTTTATTTTTATTCCTGGACAGGTTTTCCATAGCTTCTGGTTTTGAACTCTAGTAAGAAAATTTAGTTTTTGATACCCAAATAAGTGGGAGGATCACCATGTTTTCCTCATCTTTCACTTTGGTGTGCTGGTGCCCTCTCCATAGTGAAGGAGCTTCCTGCTCAGTTTTGGGTCACTCTTGTGACTCCCTTGAATAGCTGATGCCCCAGTGTTTACAGCCCTCCCAGATCAGCCTCAGGCAGTGCGGGAGATCTAGAATAGCTGTGAGTCTCTTAGGACTTGCCTGCCCATGCTGCTGCAGGACCTCCTTCCCCATTGTGCTGCCCTCTCTTCAGTACATCCACGACCTTGACAACTACAGCTGCCTTGTTTGTGGGTTGAAATCCACTGTGCGCTCTCCCTTCTATTCTTTGTTCAAGACCAGAGTTCTGCTTACTTCTTGTGTGTTCCAAAGTGAAGCAACTCCCGATTCTTAACATGGGTAGCTTTCTTCTTGTGTATCGTTTGACACCTGAAAATTCCAGCTAAAGCAGTACTTTGTTTCATTTAGACTGCAATAAAAGCTGCTGTAACTTGCTACACAGGCCAAGGTCGGATGCTCAGGTGCTCAGCTGTTCAGATCAGCCTTGGTTACATAAGAGCCTCATTTCACCATGATCCTTTGGTGCTTGTCACCTTGGATTTGAATCATAGCGTAATACATCAGACTGTATTAGGGATTTAAGATGCATTTGTACAATGTATTCTCCCCCTTTTAAGTTCTAGCTGATGGAAACGCCATACAAGGTTTCACAGCACATTGGAGACCAAAGTTGGGTCCTTATTACAGGCTTTGCATGTGTGCAGGAAATCTCCCAAAAGGAGGGCAGGCAACTGGCAAATTCTGTTGGTAAAGGTAGCATGCAGCCATGACAGGAGATAGGGCTTTGTGTCAAACTGGGAAAGTGCATTGCTCTAATGTGACAGCAGCAAGAAAACAAGATTTGGAGCAGGGCGTTCCAGTTCATCAGCTGCACAGGCCTGTCACAGCCACTGAGAGTAGCTGGCATGGAAACACCCCCCCCCCAGGCTTACCCCAGCCCCACCAGGCGGTGGGGAGGCTGGAACTAGGGCACAGAATCCACTACATATGAAAGTAAGGTTCAGCTTGAAGGTACAGCCTTATTTGTTTTGGGGTCCTAATATGCAGAGTTAAAAATGTAGCTAGCCCATGGGGCTGGAGAGATGGCTTGGTGGGTGAGCCCCCATGGTACTATTTCACTATTTGGTTTCCAGCACCCGAAAGGTGGCTGGACCCGAACTCCAGATCCAGGACTCCCTTCTGAACTCTCTAGGCACCAAGTATGCACACATATGAATATACACATAGATAAAACACACACACTTAGAAAAATATTTTTTTTTAACGTAACCCAATGAACTAAGGTCTGTTTTGGACACACTGAACTGCAGTGCTGATCTTAAGTGAGGACCGATGGAGGAGGGCTGGCAAATTGGACATTATAGATCATAGCTTAGAGAGAGACTGAGAGGTGCATGTTTTTGGGAGAGTGGTAGTATCTCGTGTATTCCCAACTGGCCTGGAACTTGTTATGCATGTAGCCAAGAATGACCTTGAACCTCTGATCTTCCTGCTTCCATCCACAGCTTCATAACTGCTAGGTAAGCCCTATACCAACTAAGCTAAAGACCAGCCTGATGTCCTCCTTAAAATATAGATAGATGAAGTGGTGTGTTTTCATAAGAAAATGACTGTTGGAAAGGAGGAGTTTTCATAGCTGATAAAATCCCAAACTGAGCTCTTCTTTCAAGGAAACTGGTTACTCTTAACATCATTAACCAGGAAGGGCAAGGAGTCTCAGACACCTGTTCCTCAGTTCCCCCTCCCAAACTCAATTTACTTCCAGAGGAACTGACATACAAAAATATGCGTCACAATGATAGGGTTTGCTGAGTCCACCAAGGTTTGCCCACTATGTCATATTGCTGAACCGCCAGGTTCCTAGTAATCTTGGGAGCCAATAGTCATTGTTTATTAGGATCCCATTAGACCTTTCATGAGAGCAAGCTTTCAACTGTCAAGCCTTGGTTGCATAGATAATCATTTTAGAATAAAATTCGTTGAAATGGGTGACAATTTTGTGTTAACACCTTTGAAGTAGCTGCATTTACTTGAAATATTTCCATAAGGAGAATAAATAAATCAGTGGAATTAGCATGGCATATTCTTGGTTATAGTTCAAAGTGAAAGGGAAGGTTTACAAGGGAACATTGTCAACTGTCAAACTATAGGACTAAATCTTTAATAGGAAATACCCAAGTAAAACCACAGATTGTAAATTCATGAGGAAAATGCATCAGAAATTGAAATTCATCTTTTTTTACATAAAAAACCACCAGTAGTTCAGGAAAATCTGTTTTTAAGAGTAAATATTCAAGAAGATGCTCCCATATTAAAAAAAAAAAAAAAAGCCATCTGGGGCCAGGAGCTATCTCTGGATAAATTTACTTGCTGCAGCAGCCTGGTGACCTACACACAAAGCCAGGTGTGGTGGTGCACACTGGGAACAGCAGCACTCCCGTGGGAATCTGGGAGATAGAGACAGGATCATTGCCTAAGAGCCGTGGGCCAACTAGTCTAGAGTGCACAACACAGCAGCAGCAAACAGACCTGCCTCAACAAGGAGGAAGGTGAGAACTCTGATGGTGTCCTCTGACTGCCACATGGATGTCACGACACACACACATCTGTACTCACTCATACACAGACATGAAAATATGGGGTGGGGAATGGCTCAGCTTGCTGCTCCTACAAAGTGCCTGAGGTTCAGTTTCTAACACCCATGTAGTGGCTCACAACTACCTGTATGTTCAGTTTCAGGGAACCTGACACCCTCCTCTTGAATTCTTGGGGCACCAGGAATGCAGTTATGCACACACATACATGCAAGCAAAACACATTTAAAGAGTAAAAAGTCAAAACCCAAACCCACATTATACTTCCAAATGTGCATTGGAAGACCTTACCTCATTATATGCATGTAGCAATAGTTAATGAAAAAGAGGCCCTGAAAGAGCAAGCATTGTTTATCACAGGTCATGTCTCCTACTTCCCAGAGTTCAATGTCTTTTTAAAATATTTCTTAGATAAATATTCTGAATTCTATTTTCTTTTTGTTTTTCAAGACAAGGTTTCTCTGTGTAGCCTTGGCTATTCTGGAACTCACTCTGTAGACCAGGCTGGCCTAGAATGCCCAGAAATCTACCTGCTTCTGCCTCTCAAGTACTGGGCTTAAAGGTGTGGGCCAAGACCAGCAGTCAAAGTACAGTTTCTTATGTAAATATCTTGAGTTAAAGTTAACTATTTTATTTATTGATTGATTGACATTGAGTTCTGTTTAAGTCAGCTTTATAATTCAGCCAAAATAGAGTGTCAGTTGATTAGACTGGTAGTGCTGCATGCAATAAATAACAAGCAGCCCTGCCTTCAGGTTCCTACCCTGAGTTCATGTCTGGACTTCTGTCATTGAGGGAAATGTAAGATTTCCACCCCCACCCCCCACCCCGGCTGCAGTCTCCCTTGGTGAGAGTTGTTATCTTGGCAACAGAAAGAAAACCAGGACAAACACCCATAACTCAGACACTGTTCGAGGCTCAACACATTACTTCCAGATAACTAATTCCAGGGAGTAGCAGGAAGTGAATATAACTTGAGGGTATCTGAACTCCCAGGTGTTACCAAGAAAACTTAAGTAGAGTGTTATGGGAAGAAAGAGCTGGCTACAGCTGTTTTATGGGATCTGGAAGGTTTTTCAAATGTGGTGGCTATTTTGTCTTAGGTCTGTGTCAATCATGCAAGGATGTATGAAGAGTTTCAAGTGTTTCAAAGAGGGGTGGCTGAAGTGAGACAGGTTGGAGCATGTTGGAAAGATCAGTGACATACTCTTGTTATATTGCCTTTTTACTGTTAAAAAACAAATCACTCTGCTTTATACAGAAAGGTAACTGCCATAATTGGCTTTGTTTTTGTATTTTCAAGGAAACAACCCAGACTTCAGATGTTTTCAATTAGAGAGCTGGGGCCTTTCTCTGTCCTAGGAAATGCCAATGCAACTCAAGTCTGACATCTAGTGGACATTGTGTGCAGGTCTATTGTATCTCAGCTCTAGAGAAGAATATTGATGGTATCAACTCTAGAGACCAAGCGAATGAAGTTCTGGTTCATGGAGTTGGAGATTTAAAAATAGTTCATTATGTCTTCATAACTGTCAGGTCCAAAGAAACTCAGTTTCCCCAAATTCTGTCAGTTAGATAAAGATCAGCATCCCTCAGGAACTTGTAAAGTTACCCTGTTCACCTCACCAAAAGGAGCCATTGTCCTTATCACTGGCAGAAGGGTCAAATGGCTATCTGTGGTGCCTATTAGCATACTGTCTTAGAGTTTCCACTGATGTGAAGAGACACCATGACCATTGCAACTCTTATAAAGGAAAACATTTAATTGGGGCTGGCTTACAATTCAGTGGTTTAGTTCATTGTCATCGTGGGGGATGCATGGCAGTATGC